TATGTATTTATATACCAACTATTTTCATGACTATATTCAAAGGCAATTACTTGCGGTTTTAGAAAACTCTTAGCACATTTTCCCCTCTAAATATGGGTCTGTGGCTGTGGGCGTAATTACGCTTGATATCCATCGCCGACAGTCAATTACGTAGACAATATCATCATCTCTGACAATTTGGAGCCCTTCGGGCATTACGGACAAACAGATTACAGATTACAATAATTAACATAGTTTTAATAGCGCTGGGAAATCAAATGAAATAAACTAATAGCACATGCATATGCCAGACATTTGCAAAAAAAATAAAATAAAATAAACTTCAATTTTGTGACAAGGCAAAAATAATAAAATTTACACACACACACGCCCTCTTAATCCCGTCCCTGCAACCTGACGTTACTAAATCGCGCATTTTCTCTAATGCGATTAACTAAGAGGAGTGAGTGAGATAGAGAGAGATGGCAATTAAAAGTGAGGGAGATAGAATGAAAATCCATACATGCCAAAGTTCATAGCAAAAGTTAGCGAATGAAAGGTGAATGCTTAATGCTTATAAATTAATTATAACTAATATGCATTAAATCAATTAAAAAGATAATATAGCATTCCAAACAAAACAAAAATGTAGATTCTTAGGTTGATATTAAAGATTAAAGAAATATTTAATTTAATTTAATTACATTTAATGAACAGAAAGAGAAAGTAATACTTAAAAATTAGATATAATTAATATAACATTAAACCAATAAAAATTCATATTACTTCCCAAACAATTTAAAAATACATATTTTTTTATAATTTTCTAATTTATTTATTTATTTTATTCAATTAGATGAACAAAAGGAAAATGAGTAATGCTATAAAACTAAATTTAACTAATATACATTAAAGAAACTAAAAGCATTCCATAAATAATTAAGATTCTCAGTTTGTTTATGAAATAATCTATTTATATTGAATATAATTTATTTATTTCTTATTAAATTAGATGAACGAAAGAACACGGCTTATAACCAATAAAAATGAAATATATATAAAGCTAATATAACATTCTACATAATTCAAAAATGTGTTCTATTCATTCTTTATTAAATAATAAACATACATTTATTTGAATTTAGCAGTATATATATTTTTATAACCTAAGTTATTTTATTAAAAAGTCAAGTTTCAAGTTAATGTATTAATTAACAGGTTTTCATTATTAAAATTATGCTAGCAAACTCAACACTATATTAATTAAATTTATTAACCATTTTATTACTTTTACGTTGTGTATCATTTTATTTTTTTTACAATATTTATAATACTTTTCTTAATCTTGTTGTTGTTTTTTACGTCTAACTAATTTCAATGTAAGGTAAAAGCCAGCTCTGTTAGCCAATTAACTTTGTAAACTTATTCCGTGTGAAATTAATTACCTGATTTTCAATGTTCATTGTTGAATGAGGGATTAGGATGAGAGAGACTGACAGTGAGATGTGAAATATAGAGACAGCGATATAAAGAGAAAGAGATGGAGAGAACACACAAACAAATTAAGCCAATGAATTCTACATGAGACTTGTTCATTTATTTACAAACGCTAATTTTGCTCACTTCCGTTTGTTGATTTCCATGGATGCTGGTTTTTTTTTCTCTATTTTTTTTTTATTATATGCTTAAAATAGAATTGCAACTGTCTGAATAGTCGTGGAATTAGAACAAAGAAATTAAAACTGCAAAGGCAAAGAACAATTATGTAAACAAAAAAATAAGAAAACTGAAAGCCAAGGAAATATAACTTTTATTTGATTAAATGCTTGTTTTATTTAAATTTTGGCATACAAAATAATACGATTTCTAAAATATATAAAATGAGAAAATAATAAGTAAATGACAGCATTGAAAATACAAATAAATTATCAAATCCATTTTAATGAAACCAAGTCTTGAACAAGCCAGTATTCCTTAAAAACTATATTTAATTACATAAAATGGAATTTGTTTAGAAATTAATTTAAATTTTGAAACATATATAATATGGATAAATTGGATACATTAAATAATATAATAATGTTGCTTAAATACCAAACTACATAAATATTCCAACATTTTAGTTTAGTTTAAAAATGTTTTAACAATTTAAAGCATACTTTTGGGCAGCGCTTAGAATTGACTGCAACGATTTTAACAATTTTGATTTCATTCTTTTAGATTAATGTCGCATTGAATGTCCTGGTTATTCGTTTTGTTTAATATCCTTCATTTATCATACGCAATTCTGCTTTTTGGATAAAAATGTATAAAACAAAAAAGTGAGGAGCATAACCTTTGGCCCAGAAACCCATTCCCTCTCTCTCACTCTTTTCCCCAACAGGCCAAAATGCGTGGTGTAAAAGTTTTTCTTAATAATAAATTGCTTAACTTTTTAGGTAAACAAAAGCACATTTTGGTGGAAAGTAGTGGAGTGGAGTGTCGAGGGAAGAGTTTTTGGCTTTCAACTTGCCGCAGGCTTATCACGTGCGGGTTGCCCAAGTGCCAAAGGGAGACAGAGATAGAGAGTGAGAGAGATAGAGAGTGTGGGAGTGAGAGAAAATGAGACTTACAAGTTGGCCTGTTGTGGAAATTAAAATAATTGTGCCTCCCCCTCGGGCGCTTGTAATTATCGCCGAGCTTGGTAAAGTTGAACTAGTTCTGCCCCCCAAAAAATTAAGGAAAACCCGAACTAGTTTACCCTGAAAATTCATAGACTTACTCCTTTTGTATTGGCTTTTATGTAAATTATAATTTATTGCAGAAGTTTTGCATAAAAGAAAACATATAAACTACTCTCAAACTCAACCTTAAAGATAGTTGAAAGAAATCTGTTATTTTTGGTTATTTATTCAATATTTCCCTTCATTCATAGCTTTGATTTATTTTCTCATTGTCGCACACAATTATCCCTCATCAAACTAGAATGCCACCGGGTTTTCTTTCTATTTTTTTCTATAGCTTATAAACGGAGGAAAATCTCCAGTTTTCCCTCTGTCCCGTTCCCTACATCTGTCATAATTTATAACCAACAATTGCAATGCAAAGCAGCCTCTTTATATGGAAAACACGCGCCGCCTTCCCGCTTACACATAAATGGATAAATTCATAATGTCTAACATAGCCTTACACTGTACAAAAATTAGATATAGAATCCTAGAACTATAAAGTATATGATAAATCATAATATAACATTAAAGAAATACATCAAATTATTATTTTTCTTATTATCTAATTGCATATAATTTTACATTAAGTTCTTAGTAGTATCTGTAGTATTCAATATTTCCCTGAGTGTACTCAAGTGTTTTCTTTTGTTTCTTTTCCTTTCAGGTGAGTTGCAAGTGAATGATTTGAACATATTCGTGGTACGTTCTGCAATTTCATGGATACAAAGTTTTTGGGGCAGAAACAAATAGAAGAAAACAAAAGTAAGAGTAAGTCAGTGGTTTCACAAACGAATCTGTACCGACTATGAAGTACCAGGTGCCAAAATTTTCGCTATGGATAATATACATATATAATATACATACTAAAGATGGGGTAAATAATACTTTTGTGAGGAGAGGTGGCCTACTGCGCCATGTCTTTGCAAAAGTTTTCGGCGCAAATGGCAACGCCCCAATGCTTTCAATTATCGTGTCGAGTCGTGTCGTGTCCTGTCCTGTCCTGTCCTGACCGGGAAGAAAACCTCCCACCCGCTTTCGAATAGGAAAATGTCCTTGACCAACAACTTTTTTCCGTCTATATCCTTAGCAAATCGCGTAGAAAAAGAATCTTAAATGGTCAGACAAAAGAAAACGAAGTTGTAATATACTTACAAGCAGTTATTGAATTAAAAAAAGGAAATTAATTAGCTAGCTAAAGTTTAATATTTAATCCTATTTATTATATGTATGCATGTTCTATATACATATATATGTATATATATTTGCTTTCATATAAGCTTCATGAACCCTAAGGGTATCGATTTGGAATTGAATTTCTGCTTCTGTTTTTGGGGTCGGTCAAAGTTTTTGGTGGCAGAAGAGGCGAAGCGGAGCATAAGTAATCATTGTTCAATACCGGAAACTATTCAATTTCCGCCTGACATGAGGCATGCACGAAATAGAGGCGAAACGGAGGGTGGTCCTCCTCGTCCTTGTCCTCATCCTGGTCGCTGATTCTGGCGGCAAAATAGAATCAACGCCAGAATTCAAGTGATGACAACTTGCACAGAGATAGAAGCAAAAGCAGAATACAAGCACAGAACAGAATAGAAGGAAACATCCTTAGATCTGACAGAAACTCGAGATCCTGGCACTGACAGTATCCTAGCTCCCTGTCTGTATTTCCAATTCTTTTTTGCTTCGGATTTGCCCGGCCAAACTTTAAAGGTAGTGCTACCTTCAATATCTAAAATCCGTTGCATTTTCTAGAACAAAAGGGAAAAATTTTAGTTAAAATTTAGAAATAGAAACAAGACCCATAAGTTACAATTGTTTGAAAGCAGAAGAATGCATTGCATCTCCAGTAAAGTCGATTTAGCCATGTCCTTCTGTGTGTCCATATGAAGCAAAAATCGTAGTTTTCATAAAAGCTAGAAATTTCAAATTTAGGGATAAGAACTATTGTTTTCCGCCCTCACAAATCCAAGCTAAGCTAAAAATAAAATTGGTATAGAATAACTACACCTATGAGGTAAGTTTTCTTTGAGTAAAATCTCTTATTTATTAAGAAAGTTATGAAAGTTATTAAACAATTAAGTTTTTCTTTATGTAGAACTTCTGCAACATCTAAATTTGTATCGGCAACACATATGTGTGTTGCTCAACTTGTTCCTAGCAGCATTTGATCCTTAAATGTCGCTCAACATTTGTTCTTATGTAAATGTCACTCAACATGTTCCTAGCACCCTTAATTGAATGTTTCGCAACATGCTGTATATTTCTTACTTGTTTCATTTGTGTTTCTTGGTTTTATTTGAATGTTCTTTAATTTAAACCATTATAATAAATTTCCTAAGTGTTACAAAATAATTGCCTGTTTATCCCGAAATTCATGTTCGTATAAATTGTGTGGTATTCAAGACAAAAGTTCACGAAAATGCAAAACGGCAGCCCATATTATGATGATCAAAGCCAGTGCACAGATGATAACCTTGAAAATCTTGTTTTGTGTACGCAACATATCGACCTCCAAGCGCAGCCTCTTGACCTTTCCATCCAAATCCGTAATATTCAGCATATTTGAGATTTTCCCACCATTTTGATAGGTTAACCACCAAGGTTCTTGTTCCTGATCAATGAACTTACACTCGATTTTGGCCATCCAGGTGTCGTTTCGATTCAAGTGCATCCAGAGCCTCTGCAAATTGACCTCACTGTCGGTAATAGTTGTTGCCGAAACGAGAAGCTCATAACGCTTCCTTTTGATCCATGGAACATCGCGATTCATGTAGATGTGAATGACAGCGGCTTGGTTGGGCTTCACAACTCCCATGAGGGGATGAACGGTGAAAATATCGGTTGGTGTATTGGTTCTAATCTTATAGGTCACCACGTTTTTCTTGCTGGTATTCCGCAATACCAAATGCCTGTACTCCAAGCGCTTGCTGCATAAGTTGAAGAAAAACTCCGTAGGTTGTAGGTCCAGAAGTGCCATATTCATTTCTTAAAATAAAAAAGAAAGCAACGATTTTCAAGGTGTACAAAAAAAAATTTTTTTAAACCAGAATACAAATCTAAATATTTACTTGTTCAGTCTGCTCTTTCGTCAGGTTCAAATCAATTGTAAAGTTTCTAGAACTTGCTTCTTTGACACACAACTTTTTCATAGATCACTTGACCTATAGAATATACTTGGTAATAAATACTTTTAGAAACTGTAAGAATTTGTGCCATGGATTACTTGATCGATTTGTTATAAATGGTGTGGAAAATGGAAAATACTTGGAAAAGGAATTAAAAAACTGTACGGATTTGTGACTTTCATTTGAGTTGCTTTTCCGGGTTTTTACTTTAAAGAAATCTTTTTTAATATCCCCATTGATCGATTTATTACAAAATCGAGTGGGGAAAATGAAAAATCCATTGAGAAACTGTAAGGATTTGGTTTCCCATCTTTTTACTGTATAGAAATCTCATTTAATATTCACATTGAAATATTTAGTTGTATTCCTGGCAAAGAATTTAACTAAATTGACAGTCTTACTTTACTTGAACTGGATTTTTCTTTAACATTTGATCGATTTATTACAAAATAGAGTGGAGAAAATGGAAAATCCATTAAAAAACTGTAAGGATTTGGTATCCCTTATTTTTACTTTACAGAAATCTCATTTGATACTCACATTGAAATATTTAGTTGTCTTCTTGGAAAGGAATTTAACTAAATTGACAGTCTAACTTTGTTTTCCTTGAACTTGATTTTGCTTGAACCTACACTCGGTGTGTGTGTGTGTGTGTGTAACATTTTCCTGCTGCATTCGATGACTTTTCCGCCGGCGGCAGCAGTTTTAAGAACCCAAAGTTGACTTGCTTTGTTGATGTTTGGTTTTTGCGGGAAAATACGAGGGCTTTTCCCTCTGCTTTTCCCTTGAATTTGTCCTGGCTTCCTATTTCCGCCTTTCATCTCTACCTGAGCGCTAAGCTGATTTTCTCTTGCATTGCATTGCTCGAGGACATGTTCATAGTAGTACGTCCTCCTCACTTCAAGGAGTCAATTCTGTTTGTCTGCACTTTTGTGACCCCTCACCTTTTGTCTGTTATTGCTTCTGCTCCTTCTCGTGCTCCTTCACCTTCGTTTGCTTCTGCTGATTGTGTGTTACCTGGACTCACTTCTTACCTGTTACGCTTCGTTAACTATGCGCCGGTATAAAAAGCTTTTGGCTATCAATCAATTGTCCTTATTCAATTATTTAGCACACTTTGCTATTTATTCTGCCACAGGTATTAAGTGCACAGTAAGAAAAATAAAGGAAATGGGAAATTTATAATTGATAAATATGGAAAACTATATTTTTCTCATAATTATAGCATTGTTTTCTTTCAATTTTAGCCTGATAAAGGTCTTAATAAGTGTAATTAGTCAGCTTCAACAGTCGCATTGATCTAGACTAGTTCCTTTTGTTTTTTCTTCTGCACAAACTATGTGATTTCTTAATTTTAAAAGACATGCAATTTTCTCTCATTTGATAATTATTTCTCTCAGTATTTTTTATATGATTGCATGTTGTTTTTCTTTTCATGGCTAACCAAGATGGCCTCAAGTTGTGGGGTAAATTTGAAGGGGGGCAACCAATTTACAGCGATAAACGATTAAACATTCCTGCAGCAATCTCTTCAAACATTTTCCCCATAGATCATGGGGATTTGTTCATTGCAATTGCTATTTGGGCAGCGAGAAAAGCTGGAAAAGCTGAACCGGAAGTGGGGAAAAGAAGAAGAAGGAGGATGTGGATGTGGAAGTGGCGCAGCCATTTTGGCCATCGTTTGTTTTACGACTTTTTCTAATTGCCTCCTTTTTGGTCTGGTCCCGAGGCAACCGACTCCGTAACTTACCTATATACCCTATTTTGGCCTCCTTCTTTCTTACTTTGTTTTTTTTTTGTGCTTGCCGGAAGGAAGCAGGCAACTCGTCCTTTATTTATTGGCCCTCTCAGTACCTCTCTCAATAAAAAAGATGTAGGAAATTGCCATCGACGAGGAGAAGAGTCCTTGGGGGAGAAAGATGAGCGGAAAAACTAAAGAGGGAAATGGACCGAAGAGGTTAGAAGTCAATGAAAATTGATCAGAACTTAAGAAATAGTGGAGGAAAAGTCAGACAATTTTAAACACGACTCCTTGCTAAGGATCAGCTCACCACGATTGCAATTCTTTAATTTTAATTTTGACAATTTGAAACATGTTTTGGTACTTTCGAGAAAATGTGCCCAGATTTCTTGCTTGTTGAGCAGCCCCCATAAATATCAGATGTCCCTTGCCTTACTCTTTCGCCATTTTCGTTCTTTTTCTAAACTTTTCCAAGTCTGGGAAAAATCTTGGAGGACGTCAGCTGAATTTCGGCCGTTGAATGGCATAGGAAATGGTCTTCAAGTAGTTGCCTCGCCTCGACAGGATGAGGTTTTGGGCTTTGGGATCCTGTGACAGGATAAAGCGGCGCGTAGCAAAGCAAAGGCAATCGGCAGCTGTGACTGCCAAAAGAGCAAAACACAAACACACACAGACACACCCAGGACATACAAAAAAGCGAAGCGAAATGCACAAACTCATTGCCATAAAAAAACACGAAACGTACGAAACGAAATGAAATGAATCATAAATATGTGATGAGCTTGGAAGAGTGTTTGGCAGCAGGAAAGAAAAAAGAAAAAAAGATGGGATGGATGGATGAACGTGTAAAAAATATGATGTCTTAAGTGAAGTCAACTTCATAACTTTTTTGCCACAAACTATTTGATGTATATTTTCCGCATATTTGGTAGTCATTTATGGTGAAGCAACCCAGAAAGGATATATACATATATTAACAAGTTATCAAGGATATCATAGCAGAAGCTCATCTATTTAACTTGGTTAAGTTTAGTTTAAAATGTTGCTTTACTTAGTTAAATATATTTTTAACTATGCTTGAATTTGTAACATTTTCATATTAGTTTTAGTTTTTTTTAATGTGCTCTTGAGCTTCGATCAATCTTCAGTGTGACCATAGTCTCCTTTATTTAATTCTCTATTTCCAATTATCCTTTTCTACATTAATTTGAAACAATGGAAATGGAACACTTATTACTAAATGCTGATGGTGCAATGTTGAATGCTAAATACTGATGGTGATGATAATGGTGTAATGCTAAATTCTTAAACATTATATTTCAACTTTCCTTGAATAACAATGTTACTTTACACCACTGTCATGTTCGGTTGCCTTCAAATATTTAAGTGGCTTTTATATATCTCTCTCTCTATATATATATATTCTTGGATATTTATAATGCCACAGCTGGCTGCTGCTTCTTTCAAGAAACTTTCCGATAATCATCAACAACAAAAGGTCAACTGAGCGAGAGGGATGGCCTCAAGAGCGGCCAGATGACATTGCTATTTCTCTCTGGGCAAAAAAGTGTTTACGTCTGGTTTTGTGGTTGTGGTAATATTCTCGGGTCCTGAAACTGTTTAATTTTTAGTTTATGTTGCATAATTTTAGGCGCACCACCTCCTCCTTCGAAAAGAATTCAGAGAGCCGAAAAGGTTAGAATGATTTTTTTTGTGCTGACTCGTGCATGGGAATCGTTGTCGTTGCCCTCCCAAAAGTGCTTACAGGACAAGTTGCCTGATAAAGATAAAGATAAAGATGATGGGGGATGATGACACAATGATAATGGAAGCGCGGAGTTGGGGGTATAGGGATTATAACGATGTGCAGATATATATATTATATATATATACATTACTAGGGAGCTAGAGTTGAAGTTTCACAGCTCAATCGCTTGATTGACAGGGCGCCAAAATATATAAAAAAAAAGGGAACAAGTGACAGTGTGGACTTGTTGATACCCTTGTTTAATAAACGGTTTACTCAAAAATGTTAATGTTCTTAAATTACAGCTTTAAATAAACTCTGGTTGAGGAGCAAAAATGTAATATTTTTATTATTACTTTTCTATAAAACGAGTTTTCTTTACTAAACGAAAACAAAACGTTTGTCAGAAATTAACTGTAGCAAAAGCAAGGTTTATTACTCGAAAAGCCAAGTCCGTTATGATACATTGATAAAAATATCACATCAAAAATATTATCTACATTAATATATCGAAATTTAAATATTGATAAACCTCTAATTTAATTTTGAAATATTGATATTATTAAATAATATTAAAATCAAACCTTTTTATTTCATTTTCCTCTATTTTCCTATATTTTTTATATTTGTTCAATATATGCGACAAAATCTATATACTTTAATAAATTGAAACTGAAATATCAAAAATCTCGTATTCAACATAAAAATATGTTATTAAAAACAAAAAAAGAAAGCCAACTTCGCCACTCCGAAGTTTGTATACCCTTGCAGATTGAAAATCGATAACTAGAATTTAATGCAATATAAATTATATATATTTATTTACAAAAAAACAATAAAGTAATGTAAGTAATTTCTTAAAACGGATGGACAGATGGACATGGCTAGATTGACTCGGCTGTTGATGCTGATCAAGAATATATATACTTTATATGGTCTGACTAAATTATAATACCCTGCAAGGGTATAATAAATGCATAGCTAGCAGAACTTAATCTAAATCAAGGCCTGAATACCTCCTATAGCATCTATATAGGATATAATAATATAATATATATATATATGTATATGATATAATAATATAATATGTTTATATGTATGTATATGTTATAATATTATAATATGTACAATATATAATTGTCATGGTTAAAACTTACCCCAGTAGAGGACACGTCATTGTTTACCTTCTTCCTCCTTATTATCTTGGTGACTTTAATTAGGGTAATCATGGTATCAATGATCATTTCCTGGTTATCCAGTTGTATTCCAATGGCCACGTCATATATTTAAAGTAGAAGGGAGATCACTATCACTTTCACTAACGATGTTAACACTAGGTACCCCTAGGACAGACTGAGGTCGCGGCGATCGAAGTGCCTCTATTTATACTTCCCGAGTGAAGAGAACAGAGAAAGAGAGCGAGAGGGAAAGAGCTACCTCTGTAGCTGCAACAGAGAGAGATAGAGAGTAAGCGCCATCTCTACAGCGCTGCAACAGAGGGAGGCAGGCATACCAAATGTTATTGTGAGTAAGAAAGAGAGCGAGAGTGTGGGAGGCAGAGGCCCATAGAGGCATACAGAAAGAGAGGGCGAG